CAGGGTTTTCAAATGATACTGCCACCTGTGGCCAAAATACAGAACTGCAGCACTCTTCTGCTCGCCTTTCTACTTGACAAGTTCTTTGTTTTTGTTTTTACTTATTTTACCTTGTATGGAGTTGCTATGAGTGTCTGAGTTTAGCTGGATCTGAGTATCCACAAAATCCATCTTGAATATAACATTTTTATCGTTTACAAATTTGACCCATTATACATGGACGTGGTTGACGTCACATCCGGCGAACAGCGCTGGAACTCTGAAGTGCATTAGGGAAAATAGGCTCAGGCTTGTAGATATTTGGGGTGTCTGTCTGCTCATCAAACAATGTTTTAGTCATAAAGGGTCAAATAAAACAGCTATTTTAAACATATATATATATATATTTTTTTTTTTTGCAGAAACTTTAGTATTGTCTTTTTAAACTAAAATTAGAGTAGGATATATTTGGGGACTACTGGTCTAATTGGTTGACATATGTGTCAGCAAAAAGGCACAATTTTGTATGATGTCATGTTTGTATAATTGCCCTCACTGTTGTAGAGGTTTCAGATGTGTTTATTGTATAAAAAATAGATACATAGTGAACGACAAAAAAAACAACTGCTAAAAAGGTGAAAAAATGGAGCTGAACGAGAACCCAGGTTTATAGAATAATGGAGGTACGTTTGAGTGACCTAGTCCGCCGTACTGACCATTAGATGTTCTCTATATGCCAAACCCTTTTTTGGGAGACATGAAAGAAAAAGGATTTGTGTCATTACATTTCATGGGTAAATCTGTGTGAATTTTCTCACAGCTTCTGTGACTTTTATTTTGACTGTCAACTTCCATAAGACGAGATAAAAACTAACTTATTCTGCAACAGATGCTATGTTATAAACAAAGGATTGTGATACAGCACCTCTTTCCCAATCTTAAATATGGTAAAGGAGCTGTGATGCTGTGGGCCTGTTTGTATTCTTAAAGTTGTACGGAAGTCATATTTAAATGTCAAATCATTCTGGCTTAAACATGTATATAAATGTACTCTTTATCAGGCAATACTGTCCCAAAAGTTAGTGTCATAATTAGATTAAGCAATCTGACCCACATGCAGAGAACCAGTCAGAGACCAAGGGAAACAGTTTAACAGGTTTATTGAATGTTGATGAAACACAGAAGTAGGAGCTGGAGCTCAGTGGACTTGTGAACCGGAACCGGAAAGTCTGAGAGAGGTCACAGTGATCAGTTCAGGGACCGTAGGAAAATTGACTGAGGCTTTAATATAGCTGGAGAGAAACTCACGTTTGAGGCGGCTCTTGTTAATCCCTGAATCCAGTTTGTGGGGAATTAATCCAGAGGAGAGGGAACTTGTTGGAGAGCGGACAGGTAGACATACGTTGGACCCAGAGGAGTAAAAGAGTGGACTGTCACTTGGTTTTCCGATGAGGACTTGAACGGATCATGTGGAGGTTTACCCCTGCTCAGTGTGTACTCAGTAATCCTTCCAGGGGGAGAAGGTCCAGGTTATCCAGTTACACAGGAAAGGCTTCCTGCTGAAAAGCAAAGACAAAAACAAGATTAGACTCAGAGAAACACAGCTTTGATTAGACTCTGCTAATCTCAGCTTGGCTAGAGTACCCAAAACTGGCAAACACTCTGGCGTCGAGGTAGGGACAGTCCGCTGCTCAAATACTCCTCCAGTGACCCGCAGGTGTGCAGGGAGGCCCAACGAGGAACAGGGCACCACCTGGTGGTGGAGAGAGAAAAACATAAAAACAACCCACACAAACTGGATTCCTAACAGTTAGAACATTTCTATTTAAAAGAAAGTCCTGTCTAAAAATCTGTGGGGTTTTTTTTTCTTTATCTTATGCAAGCCAATAAGTTACATGTCAGCTTGTACACCTTAATTCAGCCAATCATATATCAAAGGTCATCTGTCAATCAAATTTTTCGATCATAGCATCTTGATTCATATGTTGCAGCTAATATACGCAACTGTTGAAATAAGAATCTTTTACTTAACCACTTATGGCCCACTGTTCTCGGGGATAGACGTCTGTGTCTTCGGCAGGCATAGATCTAACAGAACTGGCAGCGTTGTGAGGCAAGGGCACAAACATGTACGGCTGTAAACCTTCTACACCAAACGAAGCTTTTGCCGCCTTGGCATCCTCTTCCACAACATCCTAGTCCCTGCTTTCCTCCTCTAAATAAAAAAATGTATGACGGAGGAGACTCCGACACAAAACTCTCCTCCTCTTGCATGTTTCCGCTGTCCATAGCGTTCCTTGAAAATAGTAATTTCACATTGGGAACCTACTAGCACTAAGTTGCTAACTGGTTAACAAGATGCTTCTGAGCAACCAAATTTGCTTGCAAACCTTCCGCCACAACAATCCCGCCCTCTTGATAAACGACCAATCACATTTACTTTATTCACTCATGTAAAGTCGGGCAACACTCGGGAGAATTCGGTACTGCAACCGTTGGAACGGCCGTTTCCCTATGACTTTAAGCTGAGTGGGCATAAAATAGTGAACTTGTGGAAAGATTTCTTAAAAGTGGGTCATGGTTGGATCAGCTGCATGGGTTTAGTGAAATGGCCATGAGGCATAAATTTGTATTTTTGTTCCACTGAGGACTTGTGTTGTGTTGTGTCTGTAGTTCCAACCATGAGGCCAACCATACCTACGGAAGGAGATGTGAGGATAACTATGGGATTACCTGGGTCATCAGGTAAAAAACACTTATTATTTTCAAGATTATTTTTTTAAAGAAACAGATTTTATTTATGAATATTTAGAAGCTGTGTTTTAGGAAAGTTGAGCTAAATAATGTCTAATTTCTTGTGGTATCTTTCTTAGTCAACAGCCTCTATGTTTCCTACATCCTCTATGCCACTATCCCTACTCTGCTGCTGCTGCTACTGCTTGCAGTCACTGGGTTCTTCTGCTACAGACATCATGCAAAAAGGTACAAAAAAAATGAATTTTGAAAAACAATTCCATGCAGTATTTTTCAGTGTAACATATCAAAGCAAGTCTTCGGCAAACTTGTTTTTAAACCTTTTTCTTTTTACAGTAATACAGTCACTGTACATTTTATTATCTCCTTTTGTCTCCAGGAGGAAGACTGAGGGCTTCCCCAGCAGGTCAAAGAAGCTGATCCCAGCAGCAGCTTCTTCTTCCTCCATACAGGGACCTTATGCCTTTAGTGACATTACTAAACTGCCTCACAATAATCTGGACTACAGAATGCAGGCAGAAATCATGGCAAAGTACTCCTTCCCTCCTCTACAGGATCCCCAGTATGTTGATTATGAAAATGTGACGTGTTCGGACAAGGAAACTGGCTTTGTGACCAATGACATCTATGAGACCTCCAGAACTCAAACTCGGCACTGCAGCAGTCAGGCTGGATGGGTGGACAATGAGATCTATGGGTAATATTATTTAACCGGATCTGAGCTCTGGAAAAATCTGTGAATTTTGAATTATTAAAGGAATATTATTGAGGTAGCAAGATGAACATATACTATTCTATAACCCTCTCTTCATTACATATATTGCTTTGCGGTACGAAATCTTTAAACATACAGAGTTGGCTTTAAAGTGCAAATGTATGATCATCTCTTATTTTTGGTCAGTTATAACACCATATTTAGTTAACAGTTTTATATATGTATGACACTTTTTCTTTAAATAAATGCTAATATCAATGCAAACAAAAGCTGTGCTTATGTTTGATTAAAGATGTGTTTACATGCTGACAAATTGATACTTACAGTCCCTCTGATGTTTTTTAAATTTGTGACGCTGCAACAAAGAATGCAAACCTATCTGGGAAGTATTATGTACTAGAAAAATAGAAATAATGACATTGTTCTCCTTACCTATCATATTGTGATGACTCTTTTCCATTGACCTCTTTAAGGGACCAACATGATTTACTGTCCAATTTAGTTCTGAATATTGTCTATGCCTTTTCAAACTTTCATTTTCCTATCTTCTTTGAATGAGTTTGGTGTATTGCTTCACCCACAGTAGTGATGAAATATAAAATCTCTTATAATTTTTAGCTGTCTAGCAGATGCCTGGAGGTTTGGCGTCAAAATTGACTCTTATTTGCAATGTTGTATAATTTAAATCCACCTTATTAAAACCCCAGAAAGCGTGAATATAGCTGAGCAAGATGCTACACTTATACTTTAATGTTGGTGTGGTGTTATTTTGATTTTGTTCAGTGTGGTTTTCAAACCCATCTAAAATTCAAGGTTTTGGGAGATGGGAGTAAGGCCTGGGTATTTATTTTGAGTTGTAGAAAATATATGAATGTAATGATCTCTGCCCAGGTCCCCCTTGAAAATGAGATCCAGATCTCATTGGGGTTTACCAGGTTAAATAAAAGAAATAAGAATAAAAATAATTAATACAAAGTAGAAAATGCTTGTGTTCCTAACCAGCCACAAGTTTTCTCACACCAACTTTTGTTCATGAGCTCACTTTTATTTTTTTATGTCTGAAATTATTTATAGTTTAACTGATTTAGCGTTGTGTTGTCCACTTCTTTTATTCATGTCTTTTACTTTAAAGAGGAAATAATATGATGAAATGGAGCTGACTAGATTAAGCAATGAAGTAGCACATATTTGCAATAATAAAACACAAAGTTCATGCTGGAAGTATGGGTCTTTTAAGCTCTGAGGACTATTAGAGGTTGCATTTTTTTTTTTTTACCCAAAATAAATATCTTCTGGAGCATTAGCAAAATACATTTTAAAAATGTATTGAGATCAGAGCAAAGCTGGCTTCTTGTTGAAATGAACTTCCTGTTAGAGACCTTTAAAACCACTCTGTTCTAAATCATAAATGTTCTCATCTCAGTAAAAGGCTTCCTGTTTGTCCACTGATGTCAGGGAACAGGACAGTACACCAGGAAGGACCAATGACAGAAAACTGCTGAGCAAAACATTTTCTTTTTTTTAGTTTTCAATAGTTTACAGTATGTCATGACATACTGCATGGGTTTATATTGCATGCGCTCTGCCTTTATATGTGATAAGACAAAATAAAATGCTATTTCAGAATACAAAGCTGTTTTTAATGAGTACATACTATGTGGGCTGTCTTGGTTGGTGATTTGGAAAGATGAAGCAAAGCCCAGTAAGGAGAGGCTGAGTGTGTTCTTGGAGAAAGTTCGACAGGAAATGCCAAAAGCACATCTGGAACTCTTACATTCAGGAAGTCTTTGTGACAGCAGAGGCCTTCAGTGCACTCCTCAGGCTTTTTCCTTCACCAGTCTGCTGCTCTCTGTTTGGTTCTTTACTGCATGACATGAAGCAACTACCCATGTATGTAAGTACAGCCTGTGCAGTGCCATAAGAAAAAACACATTTGCCCTATTGTTTTTTTTTTTTCTTTGTAATTTTTTTGTCACACTGTAATGTCTCAGACAAAAAAAGAGGAAATACAACTTGCAGTTTTTAAAAGATTTTTATTTAGTAAGGTAAAAACATTATTCAAAAAATCTGATCCTGCAGGAAGTTGGATCATTTTCCTTTATGAGTCAGGCAGTCAGCTATATTTTTGGGTCAAATGAATTTTAGAATCTAGACATTACATCTGATTTCAAGAAATCTGAAAAGAGATTAGAAAATCATACAGTAGAAATCTATATATCTGAACAGGGATACATGCAGAACAAATCCTGAAGCCTTAAGACTCCAGGGAAGTGATGCATTCTACTAAATAATGCTTAAAAAAATGGTTATTTGAACAGTTTTTTTATTATTATTTATTTAGATAAATGCACATTGCAACTTGTATGGCCTCTCGGCAAGGTGAAATACACATCTTTACCAACAGATGTCGCTGTGATGTTGTAGAACAAAGTGACTTATTTGATCAAGTGTCCCCCTTCTATAAAAAGAAATATAAAGATAGAGCGATCACAATAGCACCCATTACATTATGTGGAATAGAGAAATCATGATATTTGTTGAACTGCAAAAAAGAATCGTGCTTTTCTCAAATGTGCATCTTCTTTTATGTTCCATTTAGTTTTAGATGGTCATTTCTCCAGTTAAAATGAGCAGATAAAATATCTTTATTCGTGCATTTTTTTCGCTGTAGTTCTCGTTAAGCACCTGCAAAGGAAAAAACTTCGAGCTACCTTTGCGTGCAATCAAAAAAAAAAAAAGCAGGCGAGCAAACAGATTTCAGAATAGCAATTTTACCGGCTGACGTAAGAGGTGGGTCTGGTTGTCCTGACAACCAATTGGCACTGAAGTGTGGAGCTGCTCCGTGGCCCCGCCCTCTGTACAAATACCCCCATGGCTTTGACGTCAATACACGTCAACCCGAGAACATGATGCCTCTCAGCGAGTCAACTCGTGTGCTCCGTAGCTGATAGAGGCACCTCCAGCTGAAATATTATCGCTCTATTGTACCGGGGTGGGGGGGAACGTGGCGTGACAGCCTTGTGGCTCGCCGCGTATGAAGGAGAGTCAGCGCCACATTGGCATTTTTTTTAAGCCGGTAGTGGCTAGAAAGAAATCAACTTTGTCTATTTTTAATGGACACGCTTCGGGCGGCGGTAGCAGCGGCGGCGGCGGCAGGCGGCTTGTTTTCCTTTCTTTATCTCTAGCCGCTCAGGCTACCCTGTCTTAGTCTCCCCCCCTCCTTCTCTCTTTACCTCTTTCACTAGCAGTCCCATTTAGAACAGCATGGTCATGGCCGACAGTGTCCAGAAACCGCTGCTCCGGGGTCCGGTCCGAGTGGGCTTCTACGACATCGAGCGCACTTTAGGAAAAGGCAATTTCGCTGTGGTGAAGCTGGCCAGACACCGAATAACAAAGACCGAGGTGAGTTCACAAGTCAACTTGTTAGCCTGGAATGCTAACTTGGGCTGCTCTTCTGCTGAGTTATATAACTTTTATGCACTAGTTGACACCCACCCACCACCCCAAATGCAGCTGCCCGTAGACAGAGCTGCTCCATCTGAAGCATCCAGGTACTGGGGTAGTGACTGATTGCACTTTCACCCCCCCTCCTCAGGAATATCAGTGCCAGGAAGAGGTCTGACCACCACTGCTGCTGGGAAACAAACTGTAAACATGCAATCTCCTCCTCTCTTTTTTTTTTTTGCATCATACACCTGCTGTCATTTTGGTTTAATGACCCTCAAAGTAATAGTGGAGCAGCATCAAAGTGTCTGGTGTGAACTTCCAGTAATGGGGGGTGTTGCAGCATGGTGGTCCTATTATGTAATCCAATGCAGTGCAAGGAGTTATCCTCTGCTTATGTGTTGTTGGAATACCTTTTAAGACTTTAGACAGATTTTAGTTGTCATTTGTTTACTCAAGTGTAAAACAAAAAGAAATTTCGTTTGGAAACAGCTCACTGGGCAATTTCATCTTTTAAAAGTGCAGCCTTGAAAAATAGTAAAAATGACTGTAAATTTAGAGTTCTAAAAATTTTTTAAATAAAAAAAATAATGATAAAATATAATAATAAGATACAATAACCCATTCTACAAAACATTCAGCAGTCTAATAGCAGTGGGGAAGAAACTGTTGTGGAATCTGCTGGACCTGCATCGGATGCTTCCCGAGGGCAGCAGGGAGAACAGTCCATGGTGGGGGTGTGAGGGGTCATTGATGATGTTACAGGCTCAGGACACGCAGCCCTGGGATAAAATGTCTTTTACGGACGGAAAAGGAGCCCCAATGATCTTCTCTGCTGTTCTCACCACTCACCTTCTTCCAGTCTGAGGCGCTGCAGCCTCTACACCACACAGTGAAACAGCTGGTCAGAACGCTCTCTATGGTGCTCCTGTAGAAGTTGGTGAGGATGGGTGGGGGCAGGTGGGCTCTCCTTATCCTCCGCAAGTAGTACATGCCTAAGCAGTTAGAAAGCAAAGGTTTGCAACCCCTCAGACTGTCTTATAGGACTTCACATAGTAGCTTATAATGCAGCATACTTTCCAGAAATATTAATTCATCCACTTTCTATGCTTTTTGAAACAGCAAACTGCGGTTTCTGTAAATGGAGCACTGATTTAATTCAGTTTACTTATGTAGCGCGAATTCACAAAACCTGTCATCTCAAGGCACTTTTCAGTTCACCAGATCATCCAGTCAGATTGATTCAAAGTTTTCTATGTAAGGAAAACCAGTTGATTGCATCGACTCACTGACTCAAATGCATCACTCACACTAAGCATGCTTCTTGCGACAGTGGAGAGGAAAAACTCCCTTTTAACAGGAAGAAACCTCCTGCAGAATCCAGGCTCAATGTGAGCGGCCATCTGCTGAGGCCGACTGGGGTTCAAGGAGACAGAAGCAGAGATGCAAAAAGCAGCTGTAAAAGGCGGCCCCATCCAGGAAACACAGCCAGACAGACGAGCTCTGAGCCAGCTCCTATATCAGAGGATGAAGAGAGCACATCCAGCCAGTCACAGTCAGAGAAACAGGACTACACTGGAAAACAGGCATATCTCCACCAGAAATCAGACAAACGTTTTGTTTACATAGGAAAGTTTGATGTGCATTTATACTCTACTAGGAACAGCAGATAGTCATATGTTGCATCCATATTTATTTTATTTATTTATTTTATCTTTTTTTTTTATATGTATATATATATTTTATGTGTTTCTTGTGTTTTTATGTGTGAAGTGTGCGTGTGTGTAAGGTGTACTACTACTGCACAAAAATTCCCCATACTGGGACGAATAGAAGCTACTGAACTGAACTAACCCCCTTCCCCATTTACACTCATTAAAATCAGCTTTTGCTGCAAATGCTGTCTTTTCAGCAGGTTTGCCACCAGCTCTACTCCCCTTTTCCCCCTTTTTTTTGTCTGTTCTTTGCTAAATAGATCCTACTTTTTCAAGTTGAATAAAGAGTGTTTGAACGTGAGCTTTTGTCACAGATGCTCAATTTGAATTAGGTCAAGACTTTGAGTGGGCCATTCCAGCACATGAGAGTTTCATCATACCCCGTGATGTATGTTCAGGTCTCATGCTCAGTTTCAAGTTGCTGCTCCTGGTCGTTTTTTATTTCTCTGTTTTAGCTCCATCTATCTTCCCATCAGCTTTAACTAGCTACCTTTTACTTGCTGAATAAAAGCATTCCCCCAGCATGATTATGCACCACCATGCTTTATTATGGAGATATTTTCTTTTTTGTTTTCTTTTTTTTTTTTAGGGTGAACTATTAAAGATGCCATATTTTACATTTTAAGTTTATTATGTTTGTCTTTGTCTGATCAGAGCTTCATCTTCAACATGCCTGTTGTGATTTTATTTAGAGATGGCCGACTATAGGGGCAATACAAATGCATGCTATACTTTTTTTATTATTATTTATTTATGTGTCCAGCTTTAAATTTTTCTTGTAAGGTGACATGTAAAACAGTTCAAATGGGATTTTTGCAGCTTTCTAAACGCACATCTAAAACTGTGATTAGATTTGTTTGAGTTAACTTGCAATTTTCTGTCTGCTCATGCTCTGTCTGCAGAAAAGCCTTACTCAAGCAGTACCACGGAGTGCAATGACTCTCTGTCGTAATGATAGAGGCACAGGGACTTTACTGTAAACAGTGCCCAGAGTGCGTAAAAGAGTCTCTGCTGTGAGGCAAGTGGGAGTGATTAGACCATATTCCAGGAGATTTGTAAAAACAACTGCTATCTTTGATCTGTGCAGCTTGTTTGTTGGTGAACGTGAGCGATTATAGTGTGCAAGAAAACAAAAGATTTGCGTCAACCAGCCTAGATCCTTCAAAGGTTTAATGAATAACAGGGCGAGAATATGTCCTGTAATGCTCTTATTGTGGTAATCTGGTTATTAAAGCCTGTGAAGTGGCCCAGCTTCAGTCTGGACAGGGACGCTGCAGCGCTATAATAGCAGCAGCGGTTGTTTACAGGCCATCGATTTGGTAGAGGTCACTGGGTGCTGGTTGGAATAAAGACCTGCTGCAGAAGCGTAGCTGAGGGAAAGTTATTCAAAGAGGCAGGTTATAAACTTTTATGCATCATTATCTCACTCGGGAACAATGCCAAGCGACATTGGCCTGCCTGGTTCATGTTTGTACAATAAACCACAGCTTAACATCACATGAAACTGCAGATCTGCTGTGTTTGTGAACACGTGTTTACACGTCCTTAGGTTGGTACAACTCCTGTGTGCGTAACCTACTTTTTTCCACTGACCTATTTGCCCGATTTTTCGGTATTTATATTGCAGCTTGTGGTCCCATCTTAAAATCAGCAGGTCCTATATTTATTGATTTTATGATATTAGAAAACTCGAATTATCGTCAACGTTTACACCGAATCAACAAGCAACAATTAATTTTTATATATCAGATATAAAAAGAATCATGTGTGTTAATAAACTCCTAAATTATGCATCTATCCTATAGTATGTGTACCTGCTAACTTAATAGTAATAGATCAGTCAGGCTATTTCCTCTGCTAACCTTCTAATCGTCATAAACTAGCATGAATGAAACAGCAGTGATATGCGGTCCTATTTTAACAATTTAGATGAACTTTTTAAGCTTAGTCTCCTTTTTTAGCAAGGAGAAGATGTGACCTCAGTTCGATTGGCTGACGTGCAGCGATCTGGTTAAACCTCTACCCGCTTCACTTAGAGCGTTGATTTGGATGCATCTCACAAGTGGAGTCGAGTCCATATGGACGACAAGCTGGACTTGGAAAAAATTAACATCT